CAGCGAAAGACACGGGGTGGGGGAGGCGGCGAGACGCAGGGCAGCCGCCCCCGCCGAGCGGAAGCCCCGAGAACCGCAGAGACCCCGCGGGGCCGAGTCAGAGCCGCACGCGGCCCCCAACCCCCTTAACTCAGCCCCCGCCGCGGTGCCCCCCAACACCCACCTGGAGGAGCCGAGGCGGCGTCGGAGCGGTGCGGGACACGGCACGACTTCCGCACGGCCAACTCCTCGGGTCGCAGCGTGATGACGTCTCTCGGCGGGGACGGCGCGTGCGCGCTCAGGCGCTGTCGCCATGGGGACGCCGTTACGCATGCGCCGTCGTCGCGGGGACGGCTGCGCGCGCCGCAAGGTGGGAGTGCGCGGTGTTGCCATGGCAACGCAGCCCGCACGCACGGCCTGAAGCCCGAGTGCAGCTCCAGGGGCAGCGGGGGGCGAAGAGGACGGGAGGGGGGGGAACGGAGAGCCCTCAGGGATCTACTCGGGAGGTGGGGGAGGGGTCAGGGGCAGAGCTCCGGGGAGGGCGGTGCTGAGTGGGCTGAGAGGAGACCCCGGCGGCTCCGAGCTCGGGGCCAACGGCCGCTCCCGCGCGCTGCATCTCAGCCAATCGGAGCCGGTGGCGCTGCCGCTGGCCAATGCGAGCCCGGGGGCGGGACGGCGCTGCACCGGACCAATGAGAGGCCGGGGGCGGGAGGAACTGCACCGGACCAATGAGAGCAAAGCACACTGGGTTCCGCCTGGCCTGCTCCGAGCCCCAGGCCTACTAGGCGCATCGCGGAACGTAGGCTGCTCCGCAAAGCGGGGCTGGACATCCGCACACAAGAAGGTCATCGGACCAAATTCAGAGCTGGCAAGCTTTTCCCAGAAGCTCTCTGCCGTCAGCTCAGCCATCGTGTTTCATTCCCTCCTCACCTCAATTGTTGGCCACATCTGCCGGCAGGCGTTACCTCCGACCTTGTCACTGGTCAGGGCTTCAACAGCACCGAGTTTCCTTCTGGTGACGTACGGAAAATCAAACCCTATGGCGTGTATGGATATAGAGAAGGTATGTTTTATTGGCAGTTGTGCAATAGCCCTGGTGCAAGGGGGATAATTCCTCCAAGCTTGCACACCATCTGGAAAAATCGTGCTGCACATATTGAGTAAGGAAAGGACAAGATAAGGATTAACTCTT